GACTCATCCTGGGACCTGCAGTCTGGCCCTCCAATGGTCTGAGGGACTGGGAACTGACCCTCTGTTTAAAAAGTTTGAGGACCCCTGGTTTAAAATCATACATTAAGGTTAAGGATTAGGAAAGATGGAACAGGGAAGAACTTCACTAATTCTGTGGATATTCTGCCCTGCGTCAGGTACTATGTTAAGTGTGTTCTTTATAGTGTCTGTTTAGTCTTGAATATCTCCATTTTATAGGGAAGGAAGAATCAAAAATAGAGATGGTAGATCGAAAAACAAATTACATAAGTATTCATTGTACCTTCAGGCCCAGATGTACCTATATACCTTTTCTTTTCATTAAAAAATGCCCTTCATGAGTTTCTTGGAAAGTGTGTGGCTGTTTGACAGCAAAGAATACATCTTTTTAGTCTTGTTTCTATCTTCTATTAAGAGATGCTGGGCCATTATTCCTTTGAATGTTCTACCCTTAACTACTTGCTAACGTACTCAGCTTCATATACTTTATAACATAGACATTGAAAGCTGAGAGGACTTTCAAAAATTTGTCTAAGTCAGTTTCTTTCCCCCAGAATGGTTATTTACTCTACATTTAATAGTTTATCAAGAAGCAAATGCCACAACTCCTTTGGTAAGTGTATCTTACATAACCAGAGAAGACATTTAAAAGCCTGTTTGGACCAGTTTAAGTACCCATGTGGAAAATAAATGTGCCCAATAAGAAAATGTTACATAAACAAATGAAACTATAATGCTTCTGTGGGTGCTTGCCTGTGTTGATAGATGTTTCTCCAGGTTTAATTATGTCCAGTGGTGCTTTTTTATTTAAATTATTTTAAAAAGGAGCTTGTTCTTAGAAAGGAGACTCAATAGTAATTGGTTTAAATTCATAGATACCTGGTCTTTGTTTTCTCTCTTGATACTCTTGTGTGTATAAGAGAAAAAAATTTGATCTGCTGGGGTTGGCAGAAATGTAATGAGTCTTTCGCATTTGACTGGTATTAGGAAGGGTGCCTGAAAGCTTGGTGGGAGATCTGGAGACACCTCCTTTTGATACACTGTGATTCTAAGTAGAAGAAACAGCTTGTACAGGGTACTCTCTTACTTCACTGGAGTCACAGAACCCAGACAGATGTGCAAGAAGCAATGAATGAATGGTGAATTAGAGTATATGACCAAATCCCATGTACTCATAAGAAGGTGTGCACGCATGTGAGCTTTGCTTCAGGTATATATTAAGTACTAATCTGTACGTGGGATGTTCAGGAAGTAAAAAAGGCTGGTTCAGCAAATTCTCTTCTTTTTGTGCTGTGCAAGTTCTGCGGTTTACTTTCCCACTGTGCTCCATACTTGTGTGTGCTGAATGCAGATTTCATATATCAGTATGTTTACTCTTAATTTGGCCTGTGGTCAGTGATGTGTTGGTAAAGACTTTTGAGAGGGTGGAGAGGAACAATGATGATTTGGCCAGTTCCTAAGGTGGGAACACTTCTGCCATGGCTGATTTTAAGCTACCAAAGTGATGTCACTGAACTTGGAGATGGGGAGAGATGCAGTGGATTCTCACAAGGCAGCAAGGAGAACTGGCAGACCACCAGAGTTCTTGCTCAATGTTTCTATTAAAGTACAGAATCTTAATTGTCATATCTAGAAAGAGAATATTTTCTGTCTTTTACACCAATCACTTCCTGCAGAGTTGCTACCCTAGGGATTTTTTGTTTGTTTTGTTTTTAAACCTCTGTTTATATTGCGCTTTAGCTCTTTCTAATCTAATCTTTGTGTTTTATCTCAGCATGTGTTACCTGCTTTGCTCTGTGATTAGGAGGGACAAGTTTTACCTCCTGATTTCAGAGTTGATTAAGCTCCATTGTGGCTACTTGGATAAAAAAGCATAGCAAACTTTTTATATATAATTATTAAATATTTCTTGCCTATACTCTTAAGTGCCGTTCATGGATCTTTGTAAATAATTTCATTTTTGTTATCTTATGGTATGTACCGTCATTTATTTGCATTGCTTGGTTTCTTGTTTTTCGAGGTCTTTTTTTTTTTTTTGACATTGTATTTGTTTTAAACATCTCTTTACCTTTTCATACTGTGAGATTTCTGAGGAAGAAATCCTCTGTTGTTCGTCTTTGTATGCCCACGTTCTCTAAGGAATACCTGAAATCAGTTATTTGTTGAATGAACAATGAATAATAGACATTGTCTAATTTTTCAGTCTTATTATCACAAGATAGCATACATGGAGAAAATGTTTAGAATAATTCCAATTTCAGAGAGAGTTGAGGCTTAGTTATGGCATGAGTTTTATAGTTAATTAAAATATAGATGAAATCTAGACTAGGTCTTGAATATCATGCGTGGATGGGGGCAAAGGAAGCAGCATTGATGATAAAAGAGAGTGGAGAATTGTGAGAAGAGAGGAAAGGCAGGGCCTTACACATGGAAGGCAGAGCTATAAGAGGCTACCAAGTCAGATACACGCAGAAGATGAGAACATTTGCTGAATATGAGTACAGGGATATCACTTTTAGAGATCAGTTTGCTAATACATTGAGAGTAAATTGCTTTATTTCAGTACCTAAAGAAGATGTGAATGGATAGGAATGAAAATTAGTGAATACAGATTGCTTATCCAAGGACTGCCATGAGATAGGAAGTAAAACACATGTTAGTTATGAAGAAACAGTAGAGACCTAGAAGGGATAGTGATTACTTGTTTTAATAGCAGACAATTTTTTCATAGTGACACTTCATGAAGGAGCTTTAATGTTGAAGTGATGTACATGAAGTTCCAGCTTTTGCCAAGTCAACATCCTTCTAAATTTTGAGAGCCTTAATTAAGGTCCATGGAGATCTATGGTCTAATATAGATCGTAACATACTTTCAATAGCAGGACTGATACTGGATGATTTTAGTGTGCTGGGCACATCTCTTGATGAGAGTACTGGAAGAGAATGAAAAATAATTCTAATGTAAGTCAATGCAAGATGGTATTATTAGTGGATATATTATAAGTTAATTGTTTGTACAAGGGTTTGCCTTTGAAACACCAGAAATTACTGCTTTAAATCAATAGACAGCAAACTATCACTGTATCAGGTAAATTGGAGCACATAAATGGAATAAGAAACAGCCTTGCCTACAGTCCAAAGAGAGAAGGGGCATCTCCATGAAATGGGCAGAGAGCAGCAACTAACAAGATGCTGATTCTGTGACCCCCAAATTAAGGCAAGCACGCAGTAGAAGATAGTTAGTTCCTTTTGGAATAGATAGGTTGCTGCTTGGGAAAGAAGAGGAGATTTTTTAGATGAAAGGAAAAGTATGGGATGAGAATTAGACAGAGGAGAATGTGAAACAAAAGGAAATGTGAATATGTTTCAATGCCATAAAAGGAAGTGATTTTCCAGGGGACAACTTAGTTTCATAATTATTTTATTACTTTATTGTTCATATCCCAGATCAAAAGTAGCTTTTTAAAACTGGCTTTAAAAAATCATAAAAGTAGGGTGGTGCCTGTGGTTCAAAAAGGTAGGGCACCGGCCCTATATGCCAGAGGTGGCGGGTTCGAACCCAGCCCAACCCCCCACCAAACTATAAAAGTAGTTTAGCTATAAGTTAAATTTTTGCCTCCTTCCCAACTCCCTGCCTTTTACTCAAGGGTAAGTGTTATATTTCTTCTACACAATTCTTCTGGAAATGCTAAAAATACACACACACACACACACACAGAGTATATATTTGAGACATGTCTCACTCTCTTTCCCTGGCTAGAGTGCAGTGGCAAGATCATAGCTCATTGCAACCTCACATTCCTGGGCCTATGCAATCCTCCTTCCTGAGCCTCCTGAGTAGCTGGGACTATAGATGCTTGCCACAATGCCCAGCTAGTTTTTCTATTTTTAGTAGAGACAGGGTCTCACTCTTGCTCAGGCTGGTCTCAAACTTGTGAACTCAGGCAAACCACCCACCTTGGCCTCTCAGAGTGCTAGGATTATAAGCATGAGCAAACACTTCCAACCCCTAGGAGTTTTAAAAATAGACTCTTAGCAGTTTAAAATTTGCAAAATATATTCAGAGGGAAAAAAAGGCTACCTTATCCCTCAAATAACATTATTTTTCACATGGTATGTTTCCTTAAAAGCCATATCATATGGAAAGAACATGAGAACAATGAGGTCTGTTACTGAACAGAAAAGGGAAAACTAAGAAAGATATGGAAATACTTGGATACATATTTGTCACCCTCCAACACTATCTTCTTTATTATATGTCACATGGACCTAGGCAAAGTGGTATGACCGACTATCATTTTATGGCTTGTGAAGGTCCCGACATTTTGCTTTTAGAGCATATGGGCCTTTTACAAATTACCAACTAGCACACTGGTAAGGCTGAAGACTAGTCAGACTGACAGGTAGTCTGACCTCTGGGCTAAGCCATACCATATACTGTTCAGTCCCTAAAGTATTTTGATTCTTTTTTATTGTTCTTTAATTTCCTGTGATATAAGAAAGAAATTTCCCTACTTATTCCTCATTACCCTAAAGGATAAAATCTTTTGTGAAAAATACCTTTTTACTACCACTTTGATTGGTTCTTTATGTTCCATTTTCTTCCAAGATAGTATCCAAATAATTGTAGAAAGGCTTTGAGAGTTTTGCCTATTTTTAGTGCTCAAAGGTGAGAAATATTTTTTAAAAGTTCAAGTTTGGGTTAGAAAGAACATTTGTCATCTGTTCATAAAGGTGGCTGTGACCTTAGTAGGTACTTCCGTTAATACCTACTTTGAAAAATGAGGTAGGGCTGTGCAATCCTGTGGACAGCAGGTTTGGATCCGTTATGAAGACTGATAGTAGAAACCATCACCTTTGTTTGTACATGTATTGTTCTTCCATAAATGTTAGTCTGTGAAAGAGAATAAATGAAGGGGAGAAATGCTCAAGCTCGAATCAAAGGCAGATAGGCCATTACATTTTCTTTCTTTATACCTTAGAGGTTCACCTGGACCCCTATCGAACATGGTGTCCTGTCGCAGACTGTCACACAGTGTGTCCTGTTGCATCGCGTGACCCAGGACAGCCTGTGCTGGTGGAATGCCCTTCTTGCCACCTGAAATTCTGCTCATGTTGCAAGGATGCTTGGCACGCAGAGGTCTCCTGTAGAGATAATCAGCCTATTGCCCTGCCAGCAGAGAACAGGTAAGAAGGAAAACTTTGTCTTTGGGATTACTTGCTAGTTCTCTTAGAATAGCGGTTCTCAACCTGTTTGTTGCGACCCCTTTGTAACAATGAAAATACATCGTGGCATTAGAAAGGTTGAGAACAACCGTCTTAGAAACTCAACATATGTTACTTGAAGAAGGAGTTATTTTATAATGATATCTGGAGATTGGTCATTTTCCTGCAGAACTTCCCTGAGAAATGTGTAAGCATTGGTAAGTTGTTAACAAAGAATAACCCCTCCCCCCCCCAAAAAAAAGAGCATTTCTAAGAGGGATTTTAGTTCTTTCCCTCAGGAAAATCTTCCAGATTTTGCTATAATTAGAGTTTGCATGAATTTTATATTCTCTTGGGGTAGAGAGGTACAATGCTCCACTAATTCTCAGTAGGAAGTCATGGCTTATCCTCAGCTGTTTATGGAGATGCCATGTCTGGCTACCATTGGGATATCTTGTTCTTTTTGCTTGCTAAATGAGACAGATTGTTTTCTTACCTAACTAAATTGCCAATTCGTGAAGTCTGCCAATTATATCAGAGAACACAGCAGTAGAAACAGCAGCCCTACAGTGGAGTACAGTCTTAAATTCTTAGGTAACATAGGGAGGGAGATTCTCTCTTAATACTTTATGTTCTGAAAAGACAGTTCCAAGGTCAAGATTTTGTTATGATAAGAAACCGTTAAATCTGTACTTTTTAGCATGGAAGGTTTTTATGGCAGCAGCAGGGCCCAGAGTGAGAGACCTCTGTGTTTGATCCCTTGCTTTGCTTGAGGCTATGGCTGTTCTGCATGACAAGAACAAAATACCAGTGTTGTAGTCCAATTGGCTTAATCTCCCAGCGCCCTCAGAGTATGTAGAACCAGTCTTTGGAATAGTAATGCTACCTTGCTATGAAGCTGCACTCTAATCTCAGAACAAACAAATTAAGAGAACGGAAGATCTGATGCATATGACAACCATGTGCCCTGTTAGCCAGACTTTAACCAGTGCTGCCTGTATTGTCTCTACCACAGCAGTAAGCTTGCTGGGTATCACAGTATAGTGTGAAGGATGCAGAAGAGAGGAGAATTTGAGTTTTGACATTGCTCCTAGGTACCTGTGTGTCCTCATGCAAATCACTCAGCCTCTATGAGTCTGTTTCTGATTCTAAAAAAAAAAACGAGGATTAAGATACAGATTGAGCAGCCCTTATCTGAAATGCTTGGTGCTAGAAATGTTTTAGATCTCATATTTTTTCAGATTTTGGAATATTTGCATTATACACTTCCCGGTTAAATATTCCTAATGCAAAAATCCAAAATCTAAAATACTTCACTGAGCTTTTTTTTTGAGCTTCATGTCAGAGCTTAAAGAGTTTTTGATTTTTGAACATTTGGGATTTGGGGAATTAGAAATGCTCAATCTGTGCCGACTATCTCACCAGGGTAGAAGGTTATTGCTGGTACCGAATCCAATCATAGACTTGACGACACTTTGTGAATTGGATGTCTGTGTGCTAGTGGTCATTTAGAGGCCCAGTAGCTCAAGCGAAGCCCAGTGCTGTGTCTTACCTGTCCTTCCCCCCCAGTCCAATTTGTGTGACTTCTTCTCTTTGCCCATTTACTCTGTGAGCTTGTACTGGTCTATTCACATGTTTGGAGAAGGTCTCTTCAGTAATATAGGACATTTATTTTAAAGTATTGATCACTGAGGCTTCCCGCTCCATTTGCTTAATGAACAAACTATCAGATAGATTTATCTATGCCTAGTTTGGATCCTGAGCTAATTTCTCTCTTCCATAGCCAACTCTTTGCACTTCTTATTCAGGCAATGTGTGCTCAGGAAATGAAATATTAATTTGGAAAAATAATAAGTTACGTAAGCCAGCTGTGGGAAGTGTAATTATAAAATTCACTCAAAGCCAAAATAAAGATTACATCTTGAGTTACCTGCACATCTGATAAACTGTATCTCTCCTGTTTTACCCATACTCTGTTCTTGGGACATAAATTAAGCATAGATAATAAGAGTTTATCCCTGTTAGGAGCCCCAGGAATTTGGTTGATGACCATCAACTGAATGCAATTTCTCATCCATTTTTTTCCTAGGGCTCTCTTTGGGACAGATGCAGAAGCCCCCATTAAGCAATGCCCAGTTTGCCGGGTTTACATTGAACGCAACGAAGGCTGTGCTCAAATGATGTGTAAGAACTGCAAGCACACATTTTGCTGGTACTGTCTCCAGAACCTGGATGTAAGTTCCACCTGTGAGAGTTTTATCATATGGTCTGTCTTTCTTATACTGTATCTGAACACAGCCAGTATCCTAGAGGCTGTGCAATAAAATATAGGCTATTTTTGTCCTGCAGAAGGAATTTCTTTTTCTTTTTTTTTGCTGGGGCTGGATTTGAACCCGCCATGTTTAGCATATGGGGCCAGCGCCCTACTCCTTTGAGCCATAGGCGCTGCCCCAGGAATTTATTTTTTTTAATGAGACTTCCTAACCTTGTCACTTTAGATATCTATAAAAACCTCTTCTGATTACCATAAGTGCATCACTTTAGTTTTAAAGGCAAGCTTTTGTTTTAGGGGTATGTCTTGCTTTGGGGACATTGTCTTACTCTATTATGTAGATAATTATTAGTGTTTCAGTTTTTTATAGCTGTCGTAATGAATTGCCACAAACTTAATGTTTTAGAACAATGTACATTAATTATGTTATAGTTCTGTACATTAGAATTCTGACATAGTTCTTTCTGGGTCTAAATTAATGGTTGGATACACAGACTTCAAATGTTGAAACGTTCCTTTCTGGGAGCTCCAGAGGAAAATTGGTTTTCTTGTCTTGTCTACCTATTAGAGAGGCTGCCTGCTTTCCTTGGCTTGTGGCTCCCTTTCTCCATCTTCAAAGCCAGCAAGCAGTATCACATCTCTCAGGCCCTTCTTCCATAGTCAGGGCTCCTTCTCCCTACAGCTAGAAAAACTCTCAGTCTTTAATGGCCCGTGTGATTAGATTGAGCCCATCTGGATAACATAAGATAATCCTCCCATCTCAAGGTCCTTCATTTAATCACACCCACATAGTAACATATTCAAGGTTCTGGGGGTCAGGCTGTGGACATCTTTTGGGGGGGAATTATTCTGCCTACCACTACTGGATTGTTTTCTTCTTTTTGAATGAAAGGAATAAAACTATTTGAATCAATGGTATTTCTTAACTAACTCTCTCATTCATTAGCGTGACAGTGATATTGCTTTTTTATTTTTGCCAATGCTCCCTTTCCAGATCAAGGGGTTTGGCCTAATCCTTATTTTCCCTCACCATTCACAAAGCAGGTCTTCTCAAACTTAGGTGCATCTTCATCCTTGTATCAAGGACAGTGGTAACTTCAGAGTTAAAACATGGTCTGAAGGCTTGCTGAGGTCATACTCCCATTCTGGTCTTTTAAAGTTTAGCATAGCGTAAGTTGTTTATAGCTATTCCTTATTTTGGCAGTTTGGACCTGTAAAGTATGTCTGTATCAGTATAATCCCTCCATCATGGTTGAGTTACCATTATTTTCTCAGCTTTTCATTTTTATCGCTTGGTTTGCTTTAATTTGATTTGTGTGGTGCTTTCATATCAGAAACACTTAGTGAACATGAAGCTAATATGTGATGTCTACTGGCCACCACATGCCTGATTTTTAACTGGAAATTGAATAAGTTATTTAAGATGACATGAATGAGTAAGAATCTTAATCAGCTTGATCTCAGCATTTGAGAAGACGTATAAATTAGGGAGAAGAAAATGGATATTTTTAGAGTATAGAAGTTCAGCAGCTCAGGTAGAAATAATTTTCATTTTTTAAAAATTGATTCATTGTAGCTTTTTGAATTAAAATTACATTTGATATCTAAGACATATAATTTTAAATGAGTGATATTCCGGATGAGGATGTAACTGATTGTGTGCAACACATACATTAAAAATGAAAAAGAAATTTTCTTTTGTTTTCCTTCAGGTTTAACCAGAATATTAATTGAGTTCATATCCACAGGGTGGCTGAGTCCATGAGGTTCTCTTTAGGAGGCTTGAGTATAAAGGAATAAATATGTGCACCAGATCGCCGTCCTTTGGCTAAAATATGTTTGGGGGATGGCGTTGCAAAGAACACACTGTTCTGTCACTCGTACTGTTCTGGTACTTGAGATGAAATGGTACAGATGTTAAATGGCTAGCTACGCAGACTTCAAATGTTGGAACATCTTTTTCTGGTCACTGTGTTTTGAGATCCCATTTTCTCTGTTTTAGCCAGAGGCATTGGCTTGTTGGTAATGATGTTTTTCTCTAGACAAGTGGTATTCTAGTCAGATGGTGCTGTTGATCTCTGTTTATAGGAAAGTCTGAGACTGTGGGGCCAGGAATAGGGTGTTTGGTGTTGTCTAAAATCCAAGCATGAGGCAAACGCCAAATAGATTTTTTAGCGTTGTTGGGGTGCGAGTTTTTGTGCCTTGATCCTCATCCCTACAGTTTCAGAGGATGAGGTATTCTCAGTCATCTGCCTTGGAATCCTATTCCCGTTTGTGGCCTTGGTTACTTGTTCCTTTCACTTATCCCTTCTCTCTCCTATGATGTCACCTTCCACTCTTTACTCTCTTAACATATCCATGCATTCACCTGTGTCCCACTTAAACACCAATTAACCTTTTTTCAAGCCTGCCTCTTTTCCTTACTACCCCTCTGTTTCTCCTTCCTGTAGAAGCCGAGCTTCAGAAAAGCCTACTCACCTCTTGCTGTTGACATGTGCTATCTCCCAGTCATTGCAATGTGCTTAGACTGCCACAGAGTCAAACCCTGACTGCATTCTTTCCCAGGTTTTGAGGGGGTTCTTCCCAGTAAAATCCAGTGGATTTGAGAAATGAATGAATGAATGAGAAAGAGAGTTAAGAGATACCATTGATACTCATCCATATCTTACTGAGATTCTCCACTCCATTTGACATCTTGACCTCTTCTGTTTCAGTGATCCTATCCCTGCTGGTTTCTCTTTTACCTTTCTGGCCACATCTCAGTGCCCTTTCCAGGCTCTTCCTTGGTCCATTTTTTTTTAAATTGTAAACACATAGATCATGTACATATTAATGCATTTATGGGGTACAATGTGCTGATTTTATACAGAATTAGGAATGCTTACATCACACTGGTTAATATATACCTCATCTCCTTTATTTAATTAATATATTAAGACATTTATACTCTATACTTAATAGATCTGACATGTACCCTTGCATTATGCACCGTAGGTGTGATCCCACCATTCACCCTCCCTTGATCTGATCTCCCCCCTCCCTTCCCATCCCCCTCTCCTTCCTCCTTCATCCTGGGCCATACTTGTGATCTGTTCTTCATATGAAAGTGTTGAGTGATTGTAAATTGGTTTCATAATAGTACTGAGTACATTGGATATTTTTTCTTCCATTCTTGAGATACTTTACTAAGTAGGATATGTTCCAGCTCCATCCATGTAAATGTAAAAGAGGTAAAGTCTCCATCTTTTTTAAGACTACATAATATTCCATGGTATACCTATACCACAATTTATTAATCCATTTTTAAAGCCTCTTTGCTTCTCAGTCTACATCTCTCCCCAAGTAATCGGAGTCTCTCCTATGGTTTCTTCCACCCTGTGTGCACTGAGGCCCAAGTTGTTTCTTCACAATTCAGATCTATGTAATGAACTATAAAGTACTGTTTAGATACCTCAACTTCCTTCAAGTTCAATGTGTCCAAACTTAACCATCTTCCCCCAAAAATCCATTTCTGTTGCCATTTCTCTTGACAAAGGCACTGCCTTCTTTCCACCCATTTGCTTTCCCCTCCCTTGTGATTTCTTCTCACTGTTTCTCCATCTAGTTATTTGCTTTTCTCATAGTTCATGATTGTAACTTCCTCTTCTTCACCTATCCTCATTTTCTCTCTCCTGGTTTGCCACAACATGTGACTTCCAGCTGCCTCTCTCATGGCCTTTTCATTCCCATCATGCCTCTGCCAGAGCCACTTTTCCAAGATAATTGGTCAAGTCATTACTCTTTTTCATAGAATCAATCAGGAGTTACATTGATTATGATGTTTTCACTCAGTGACTTGCAAAACTACTCAGATATACTAAAGATGATGGGCTTGGAATACATAGAGGGGAATCATTAATATCACCAGAGAGAAACTTTGCTTCCACTAGGTGAACTGATTACTGAAACGGCTGTCTCTGTTTTTCAGAATGACATTTTTCTCAGACATTATGACAAAGGGCCATGCAGGAATAAACTCGGCCACTCGAGAGCATCAGTGATGTGGAACCGAACACAGGTACCCTGACCTTCAAGGGAGCGTGACATAAACCAGCAGTGTGATGGCTTAAAGAGCCCAGCTCTTTGTGCTTTCTACTCTATTCCCTACCTCTTCATGCCAGTGTGGGAGGTTCTAGAGAGTTCTGGGGTAGGGATAGAGAAAGGTAATGGGAAAGCCACCTGAATTCATGAGTAGTCTCCTTGAAGACAGCTAGGGGCACAGGGCACCAGTGCAGCCAAGCAGTTAAGCATGACCTGCAGAGTATAGGTGGGCATTCTTCCACCTAAATCCCTTGTTCTTAGTAAAGTATCTCAATAATGGAAGAAAAAGTATCCAGTGTACTCAGTACTATTATGAAACTAATATATAGTCACCCACACTTTCATATGAACGATAAAACAGAACTATAGCTCAAGATGAAGGCAGGAAGAGGAGGGGAAGGGAAGGGGAGGGGGGAAGTTGGATAGAAGGAGGGTAATCAGAGGAACCACACCTATGGTGCATATTGCAAGGGTACATGTCAAATCTATTAAGTGTAGAGTATAAATGTCTTAACATAATAAGTAAGTGAGGTGAAGGCTATGTTAACCAGTTTGATATAAGCATTCCAAATTGTATATAAAATCAGCACATTGTACCCCATAAATGCATTAATGTACACAGTTATGATTTAATAAAAAAATTAAAAAAAATAAATCCCTTTAAGGCATATTAGCTATCCAAGGCAGTGCTCTAAAATCCAGTGAGCCCCTGCCAGGGCTTGGATCCATCTGTTCATACCATTGTATATGTGACAGGTTCAGAGGGGGTCATGGTGTATTTTAATAATGTTTTATATTTATTAAATGCTGCATTCTTTTTGAGGGTGTAAATGCTAATATCCTAGTAATCATTATTAGTACCCCTAGAGACAGTTGAGGAAACTCAGGTAGAATGAGAGCCAACACCAGTAATTCATGATTACATCGGGCTTGCATCAGCTCCAGTTAGCATTTGGTTTATTCTCATCCTCAAGTCAGTCCTTGTGTTCCCTGGTTGTGTACAGTTCAGACCATTGCTGGGTACGGGATGAAAGCTCCCATGTAAATGTAACTGTATTATGTGCCTCACATGGTGTCTTAGTCATTCTTACTATACCAATTAACTGTAAACAGGGACCTCAAATAACAGACATTTCTTTCTCACTGTCTGGAGGCTGAGAAATCTGAAGTGTAGGAGCTAGCCTAGTGAGGGCTCTCTTGCTGGTTCCAAGATGGCCAATTTCTTCCATGTCTTCACATGGTAGGAGGCCTAGAGGCAGGAAGCAAGCTCTCTGGTGTCACTTCTAATATAAGCACTAATCCTATCATAAGGATCCTGCCCCTAGGCCCTGAATTAACTTTTAAAGGTCCTACTGCCAGATGCCGTCACTTTGGGGATTCAGACTTTCAACACATGAGTTTGGGCAGCGGGTTGCCAACATTTGGTCCACAGTGGATGATGTAGTTGGAATAAGTATACATATAGAAAGATTTAATTGCTGAAATATGCTTTTCTTCTAAATTTCCAGGTGGTGGGGATTCTTGTAGGCTTGGGAATCATTGCCTTGGTGACTTCACCCTTGTTACTCCTGGCCTCCCCATGTATAATCTGTTGTGTCTGCAAGTCTTGTCGGGGCAAGAAGAAAAAGCACGACCCATCTACTACCTAAAGGTCTCTGTGTTCATGCGCCACAGATGTCCTGAGACAGCACAGTGATAAAGCCCCGCTTAGTGATCTTGCCTCCTTCTCCTTGCCAAACTTTGGAAGTGCCTCTGTGTCCAGACTTTGAACCTGCCTGCCAGCCTTCTGTGTCAGAAAAGGCTAAGTCTGGATTCTCTGCGGTCCAGGCTGTGTCTATGGAGCATGTCGGGAGCTTCGGGGTTGCTTGGGAGGAAATAACACATCATTTTATCATCCAAAGGATCCCACTGGACTTTCAACTTCCAGCCAAAGTCAAAGAACCTGGGTGAACATTTGATATAATAAACATGTTGTCATGGTTGGCAACATACAAGATAACTGAGAAGCTAGAGTCTGTTCTGTGTTGATTTGACCACCGTGAGAGACTTGAGGGAAACCCAACATAGAAAGGGAAGGATAGGACTGCAAAAGGAGAAATTCTCAGAGCTGTAAAGCAGGCTGCCTATCGTAAAGAGTCAATATGGTGGTTGTGCCTCTGCCGGCTACTGGGTGTGCTGTTCCCAGTGTTCCCACCATGACTTGGCAGAAGCACAATAGGTTTCTCCTTGTGTGATCTCAGCTTTAAGCAGGAGAAACTGCTCTGCAGAGGGAGTTGTCCCTTCCCAGTAAAAGGGTTGCAGCTTGTTAAACAATATGGTCTAATTTAGTGCCTCTCCCTTGGCAAATGTAACTTTTCTAAGGCGTTCAACCCATCTCGTAAAGCTGGTAGCTGTGGTCTACGAAATTGTTTCATATAAAATATGGGTACAGTGGTAGAGGGTCAAAACCTTTGTCATAGGTAACAGGGAACATTCTTGGGCTCTGTGTTCACACACCCAACAGGTTTGAAATTGGACCTAAGAGTACAGGTCTAGAGTTAATATTAAAGTCTGTAGGTACATCTAAAATCCAGATGACTTGCAGCCTACCTAGAATTTCTATCCATTGGGCATGCATGGGTATACCCAATAGTATATGCAAAATAAAGATTTACATAAAAGCCTTCTGTGACTAAAATGGTTTGTTATACATCACCCTGAAGATGTTTTGCATATTATATATGTGAATTTTGGTTGTAAGTTCATAACTTACCCAGGGGTATAGACTCATAACTCTTTTAAAATAATACTTAGAATGATATCATGCCATCTCTGTTTGTAAAAACACTGATTGATAATCAAGTTACTTACATGTTTTCAAACACAATTCAGAGCAGCTCTCTTCTCAGTATAATTTATTATTCTCTTTCTGCATCTGTTAAGACGATTCGAATACTCTCTATGTATATAAGGCATTGATAAAACAACAATAATATGTGAGAAATAAAATGGAAATGCTTTATAGATACTAAATATTTTGGTTTTATGTCACCTCATTGTGACACATACTGTTAGTCCGATTTGAATAAACAGGTTTTGGAAAAACAAACCTTTTTCTCCAGTAACAGAATAGTATAATTGCCATTAGCAATGCAGCCTGGTGCTTCATGAGACCTACACTAGATGTTACTGGAGAGTTCTTGAAGCCAGGGATGCCACATCAGGAACGGTTCAGGGCCTATGATATTTTCTGAGGTAACTGGGTAACTAGATGATTAATTGCTGCTATCCCGGATGACGCTTTGCCTATGTAATGGGATATATGCTAAGTGGAGATGTGTGTATTTAAGGAACTTCAGTTTACATGTGTATATCAATGTCTGACATATGTGTAATACATCTGTTGGTCATGTACATTTTTACTTAACAGTTTGTATAGAACAATAGGTCAGAACTCTGGGAATACTTTTGAATGGCAACGAACCAAGATAATTTTTAATCATTTATTAGATATTTCTTAATATTAAGTGTCTTTGTTTCCCTTTGAAACTCTAAATGCTTCGGAAAAAAAAACAAACTCCTCTGTATCAGTGTATTTCATGTTAGTATAAACATAAATGTAGATACATTTGAGTAGTTAATTTGCGTTGTCTCACACATAGCCTACTGCCTCATTGCAGGGAAAGGGCATCTATAACTGCTCAGGGGATCACAGGAACTGAACTGAAATTGGATTTTTGTAACAAGAATGTGACAGTGGCAATGTACTACTCCATTAGTAAACTCTCTAAATTTGGTTCCATAAAGAATCAACAGGAGCTGTTTCAAGTAATCTAAAATGCTGTGTTATCAAAAGAAGAGCTGCCAGAATTGGAGTAAAGGTGAAAGAAAATACCTATGCAATTTCCTTGGCCTTTGTGAAGGAATTTGCCTTTTTGCAGAGATATTATAACAGAATTAGCTACTTTCTTGGGAGGTGGCAGGGCTAGCTAGGGAGTGGGGGGTTGTTTGTGAAACTGAGTTTAAATAACTGGATTTACTTTTTTTTTAAATATTGAAAAGTGCCTGAAAAATGGTAACTTTTTCCTTAAATAGCTAAATGTGTGTGAGATTGTCAAAAACAACAGGAACAGGTTGATAGATTCAACATATCTCTTGTGCATCAGAGGGCACAAAGAATGCAGATCCAGAGGCTTTGTTTACAAAAGCGAGGGCTGACAACTTTGATAACAGAGGTTGATATTTTTAGTTTAGATACATGACCAGTGAAAGAATTAACCTTATCTCCTTTCTTGGTCAGCTAGTTTATCTTTTCCTAGTAATTCTCTTTCTGTATTAAAAGGAAATTGGGTCTGCATAAAAGATGTTTGGATGTGGCAGCAAAAAATCTTTTTATGTTTGGTATAGTACTGCACAGTGCATTTGAAACAGAAATCAAAAGTCCTCCAACAGATTGTAATCTGGATGTGATAACCCACTATCCAGATATCCCATGGGATATATTGGTACAACACCTACCCATTGTCCCTTTCTAGGAAATTTTCTCTTGTTACTAGGTGAAGAAGAAGAAAGCCATATGGAAGGAAATGTTAGAATCTTAGGCCTCCTGTTTGTTCATGCCATGGGTATTTGGTTTGGACTTAAAATCTGTACTTTGAAAGAGACCTTGGAAAAACCAATAATTCCGTGTGAATTTTCTTATAGCCTGCATTATGAAAATCTTATCTTTTCAGGTTTGCAAATTTACATGTTTGTTTGAATGTAAATCACAGTTTCTAGGAGCCTCGAGTTTTTTATTAAAAATTATTTGGAATCTAAAGATGTGTTACTTTAGCCTTCCCTACACACTGCTTCTAAAAGACTTTTCTTTCTGTTCATAAATGGATGCCTTTATGTGTATAGTATCATGTCTGCGTGTGTAGCTTTAAGGACAATTTCAGAAATGCCTTAGAGAAATGACATTTTATAAAGCGGTCACAACTGATATCCATAGGCTATTAGATGTCACGTTGACGCATGATCCAGGAAATTTTGTTCTGTATTTAAGAAAGTGCTGTTATATTTTTCTAATTCTTTGGAAGGAAAATAGCTGTTTTAGTCTCTAGCCCCAATAAATGTGAGCAGAAAATCAAGTGTGTTAACCTTTGTTGTGCCGCACAATTCTAGGACACATTGAATTTTATCCTCCAAGAACTGACTAATCACTAGTAAATCCCACGTTCAGAATTTGAAAAACGTATGGAAATAATTCTTGCTACTTTCTTAAAGGGGGCAAGTGTATTGTCTTTATTTGTGGCAGACTTTCTCATGGTATGTGTGATATTCCACGCAGCCAATGCACAGTAATTGATCATTATCCGGAGAAATAATAAATCATACGGGTGTTTGATTATTCTAATATAAATTGCTGCCAGGTGTCAAAGCTTTCAGTTCTGCAGAATGGAGGTTGGACTAAAGGCCTTGTGTTTGCTTTTTACTGTTTTTTAAGAAAGGATTTGCATTACAGTGTTAAGGTCATTTCCATTCAATTAGTATTCAAGGCAGGGCTCCCTAAAGTTGAGTGCTAGGAGTAAGTTGGCAACTAGCACTGTGTTTCTGGAAAACTGAAAGCTCTATACTGTTGATGCCTTTTTATTGACTTGTTATGTGCTTCTGAAATGATACCTGAGTACAAAGGTTTACAAGTGAGTTATTCAAATTTTGTTGCCTAACCATTCAGTTTCAAAGAAATAAGATCATTTTAAAACATTCTTGGGTTATGGTCTGTTGATTTCCTTCATGATCTCCTAGAATAAATATCACTATTTCATTTTTAAACTGTGCTTATTGTTTACTAAACTTAAATTCACATTCCCAAAGAAATAGTGAGTGAACCATTTTATATAGCAGTGATTTTACAATACCCTGACCAGCAAACTTGTTGCAATATCAATTAATAAATGCTCCCCCAATCACTAATTTATAATTAGATTTTTAAGTAATTCAATTACTTTTATTTGTTAGATAATGAATGTAATTTTTCTTTAGAACCCAAAGGTAATATCCAACTCTACATTATGTGAAAGAGATGAATTTCTTCAAATAATTGGTTAACAGCAAATATGTTTATATATTTTTACATAAACTAAAGAACTTTTAAGACCAATCCTTTGAGATAAAATGAACAGATATTATCAGATTGATTTTACAGAGAAAGCAACATTTTGTGTTCATGTGTCCACAAAGATCATAGTACTGGAAGTGGGAGCCAGAAGCAGAATGCTGGCTTGAAAGTACTTTAGTGCTCTTGCATCAGCCAATAACTCTCAGCCTGCCTTCACTCCCAAATCTGTGAGTCCCAAGAGAACACGCTCCCCTCTCAATTGCCTGAATCAGTAGAGGTAAGTGCAAGACAGTAATTTATTGTTCCAAATCATCATTTAGAGTCTGTGTTTTGGTGTTTCTGACAGCAAAGGGCATAGGAGCACCCCCTAAGGTCAAGTCCTATTGCTCCCTGGGGTTCAACTAGAGAAAGAAATACAGGGCATAGGGGGTGATTCATTAGAGAAATAACAAGGTGATGTGCATCTGACTTGCTAATGTTGGAACCACAATTATGGCTGAAGCTATGTACTTACCCCAAATACCAATGTGCTTGCCTCTCCCTCACAAGTACACATTTTATTCTCACAGGTTCCTTTTGATGTTTACGATCAAGACTCAAAGCGATCATTAACTCAGATCCAAATCCTTTCCTATGTTATTAACATTGCCAACTTGTACTTGAATATGTATTTGTGGCCTATCATTAAATAAATAAACTGATTGGCAATTTCAGAATCTAGGAATGGGTCTCTAAATAAAGCACTTAATTTCTGATGTGTATAATAAAGAAGTTGTGCTTTGAATTCTATTTTCTACCTTTATGATTTCTAGTTTTTTCATTGTCTTATTTGTCCTCAGTTTTGCTCATTTTTCTGGAATTCAAGCTTTTGATGAGAAGGAAATTTAATCTTAGTCACTTTGATGACCTAGCATGATTTGAGGATGTATATTTTCTTTGTGGGAGGGGGGCAGTAGATAAGTAGATAAAGTTAATATTATTGAACACATTCAATTAAAATGAACATGAAAGTATGTTTTTTTTTTGTGTGTGCAGTTTTTGGCCAGAGCTGGGTTTGAACCCACCACCTCTGGCATATGGTGCTGGCGCCCTACTCCCTTGAGCCACAGGTGCACCCCCATGAAAGTATTTTTGAGGCAAGTTGTAAGACTTCTAATTACAGGTCAGCCTGGACTTATGTTTTGAAGTCAAGCCAGTTCACTTAACTAAAAGCAAACAAGTCCAGAAATCACATACTGCCCTTCATGGCATGTCCTGAATTCCAGCCTGGCTCTGGGACTTTGGCACCACAAGGGCACGTGAACAGGGTGCTGGAGAAGGGACTGCAAGTCTGATGTCACCCTGGGCACAGAGCAAGCATGCAGTGTCCTGTGTCTTCCCTGTCCTCTGCCAATCCTGGTGGTGTGACATTGGGAACCGACACCCAACTTGCAAAGAGATGGCTTCAGTTCTAGGCCTGTCTCAGCTCTTGAATAGTGGGGTGGTGGTTATCATTTCATCCCCATCTCAGGTCGGGCTTACGAGGATTAGGTGAAATCCTGAAAGTCAAAGAGCTTCTAAATATTGTTCACTAGGGAGGTGAGAGGGGAGGGAGCCATAGAGTTGGGTGTGTTTGTGGCTATAAGTATGGTTGATCAGTTTTTAGCCAGATACTGTCCCAAAAGAAGCAGAGGGGGCAAGACAGGGCAGTCCTGAAATACATTTTAAGCTTCTGAGTGTTAAGGGGAGTTTGACCCCCTTATTAAATGTACTGTCCTTTTAGATTTTAAAAAAAGTCCCTTGTGTCATTTTTTCACAAAGAAATATTGTACAAAATAGTGGTCTCAGTTAATGCTCAATCAAAATGGAATAGGTGGAGAGAGAAATACAGTTTATATCAACACAATGATTTTGGAGGAAAGGTTTATTGTAAAAACTTGTCATTTATACAATGTCTTATGGTATGCAAAGTATCTTCAAACATTGCCTTCTGCTCTTCACACTACTCAAGAGTGTAGATACCCCTAACTCCAATTTATACATGGGAGGTGAGATCCAGGAGCTAAGTGACATGGTCCTCTAGTAGATTAGTGGCAAAACTAAAGTTTAAACCCACATCTTGCATGAACCAGCTCAGGAAAATACTTAAAACAACATATTTGGCAGGTGTAGTGGCTCATGCCTATAATCCTGGCACTCTAGGAGGCTGAGGCAGGAGGATCATTTGAGCCCAAGAATTTGAGATCAGCCTCAGCATAGGTCAGACCCCCGCCCCCCAAAATAGAAAAATTACCTGTGTGGGGTATGCATGCCTGTAATCCCAACTACTTGAGATGCTGAGACAGGATGATCAGTTGCTCCAGGAATTGCAGGTTGTAGTGAGCTATGTGGATGCCTCTGTACTCTAGCTCCTTTTTTCTTTTCTTTTCTTTTCTTTTCTTTTCTTACTTTCTTTTTTTTTTTTTTTTTTTGAGATAGAGTTTCACTATGTTACCCTGGGTCGAGTGCTGTGGCTTCACAGCTCACAGAGCAACCTCCAACTTCTGGGCTCAAGCAATTCTCCTGCCTCAGCCTACCAAGTAGCTGGGACTACAGGCATCCACCACAACACCCAGCTATTTTTTGGTTGTAGTTGTCATTGTTTGGCAGGCCTGGGCTGGATTTGAACCCACCAGCTCTGGTGTATGTGGCTGGCGCCTTAGCCACATGAACTACAGGCATTGAGCCTGTACTCTAGTTCTTGACAACATAGCAAAAGTCTGTCTCAAAAAACCCAAACAACATTTTTATTACTTGAGTTTCTACAGGTCAGAAATCTGACTTGTGTTAAGTTCTCTGCTTAGTCTTCCTGGGCTACAAATCAAAGTGTTGACCGGGGCTGTTTTCTTTCCTGGGGTTCAGGTTCTTATTCTTACCTCATTGGATATTGTCAGAATTCAGTTCCTTCTTGCACCTTGGCCATGGGCCCCTCCCTCTTTAAGCCAACAATGAATGGCTTATTGAGTCTTTCTCATACTTTGTATCTCTTTGACTTCCTCTTCTGATGCATCTCTAACTTCCATTATTTTAGGTTTTAAAGTGTACTACAGAGCATTCTGTTCTGTTTCTCTGCACTGTGAAGGCAAACAGTTTGCACAGGTGATAGAATTGGCATAAAGAAATCACAAACTCAGGGAAGAGTTAGTGATATCTGACTTCCTACAAGGGAATAGTTGATTAAACAGTGGATTAAAAGCCTGGTATAGCCCAGGAGTCAGCAGCAACTCTGCTTCTAGCCGGCATCTTTGGGAGGTCCACTTGGTCTGTACCTTGGACAGATTTTCCCAAATGGACTGGAAGAAAACCTTGTCTTTCTAAACAAATCCTCAGAAGATTTAGGATTGGATTAAATCTTATGTTGGATTCAGGAAGGACAACTCCCTTCAAAGAGCTGGTTTTAAGTACAAGATGGTGTTTCCACTGAAGTCAGTTTAATAATAATGCAGATGGACCTGAATTAACCAGTCCTTGCCTGCTGCTGAGGCGCCTGCATTCCAAAAGTCAAGGTCATTACCTCTTCCCACCTCACCATTAAGTACAGGAATACAGACCCTGGGAAGGTGCTTTAGATGCTTCAAACTACAGCAGCCACGCTTCTGGTTAGAAATAAAGCATTAGAGGGAAGTGTGAGAGCTTGGTTAGTCCCTTATGGCCTCGGACAATTTATAATTTCTCTTGGCTTCAGTTTTCTCATCTAAAAAATTAGGAAGTGATTGTTTTTTAGGTTCAGTTTAAAATTAACATTCTAAGATAGAAAACACCTCCAGCTGCTCCTTCCTCCGTGAGCCCCATATGCATGAGAGTAGTTAGCACAAGGGAAATTCTCCTTATTAGACAAAGATCTTATAATTCCCAGAAGCAGCTTCTAGGTGCTAAATTATGGGAAACCCCTGAAGCATGTGAAATATATTATCCATTTACCTAAAGTGAGCAAGTCAAAAAAATATATTTGAACTTCATAGTTTGCTCTCGATAGCTAAAAAGATCTATAGCAAAAGTTGTGTAGGAGAATTTCCAGAGACATATTTCTCTAGTTCCTACATGAAAAATATCAGAACTTCAGTATCTTATTTGAAATACATCATGGACTATACTGAATGTATCAGTCTATGCGACTTGGTATTGATTAATTTTTCCCTCTCTCTAGGATACATTGCATATCCTGTGAATTGACTTAAATTTGAGTTATATATGTATGTTTGTTAATCAGTAGTACATAGGACAGTGTGTGTATGTGTGTGTGAGTACAAAATAGAAAGGCAATCTACTCTGGTACAAAGAATTTTTTTTTTTTTTTTTTTTTGAGACAGAGCCTCAAGCTGTCCCCCTGGGCAGAGTGCCGTGGCATTACAGCTCACAGCAACCTCCAACTCCTGGGCTCAAGCGAGTCTCCTGCCTCCACCTCCCAAGTAGCTGGGACCACAAGCGCCCGCCACAACGCCCGGCTATTTTTTGGTTGCAGCCATCATTGTTGTTTGGCGGGTCTGGGCTGGGGATTCGAACCTGCCACCTTAGGTGTACGTGGCTGGCGCCTTAGCCGGTTGAGCTATAGGCGCCGAGCCACAAAGAATTTTTTAATCAGCTTAAATAATGAATTTTATTTTCAAAAGTAGAACACAACTAGTTTTG